TTTTTATTTATTTATTTATTTATTTATTTATTTATTTATTTATTTATTTATTTATTTATTTATTTATTTATTTATTTATTTATTTATTTATTTATTTATTCATTCATTTATCTCTCTATCTATCTATCTATCTAATGGCAAATGCAATCCAAGCTCGCAATCTTAAAAGTCCCTGTTTAGAAAGCGAGTCAGATTTATACGATTACGTAACAACCATAAATAATCAATGGTTACAGACTTATATTGAGTTAGAACTTAAAATTGACTCAAAATTTGTCTGTTGACTTCAATTTTAGGATTCACTTCCAGAAATATAATATAAGAAATAAGTGCTGAAAAATTTGGGCAAGAAATTATGGTGGTGAAATAGTTAAACAAGCCTTCAAAAATAACAATTTTCTGGCACCAACTTTTATTTGATCTAGCTACTGCACTGTGCTATTCTACTCACAATAAAACTAGGCACAGCAGACAATAATACAACTTGAGTAGCCAGACCATGTACTCTAGACAGACTGACTACACTACTTGACATGTCTCTTTCTCCTGTACTGCCCAAGTTTGTGCAACACAACATTTTTTACAAATTTTGGGGTTCACCCACTCACGTAAATTTCCACTAAACAAGTTGTACCATATTTGCTCTATTAGTAGTGTACAGAAACTAAAAAATGTATTTGTTATACGCTTTAATACAATTTTATTTTTATTATAAACACATAAGCATAAGCACAGAAGTATGTATGTGCATGCAAGAGTAAATGACCCCAAAAGGTCACACATCCTGGCACTTTTAGGGGGTAATGTCCCAGCAATAATTTCCATTATATATGAATGATCGTGTCTCACTCCTAACATTTTTTTTCAATTAAGAAATTCTCAATTGACAAAGAAAATAAAGTGTGTGGTTTTCATAACATACGTACTTCAAAAACAGGTAGGGTAGGTCAGATTTGATTTATTGCATTTTTTTCTTTATTAGGTGTTATTTTGTTTGTGCTAGCTACTTAACGAAATCCATGATGTTTACAGAAAAGTATTCCCAATTTGGTCAAAACTATATATTGAATTCATTCTTGGTCTCCTTGAAATCTAGTGTGATGATTTTGCATCATTTTTTGAATGTTTGGCCCCAAAATAGGTTTAGGGAAGGCAATAAATCTTATTTTTTTTTTTTTTTGGCCTATTAGTGAACTTGTACCCCATAAAGTACCAGTATTTGTGACCTTTTTGGGTCAAGCATAAGTACCAGGATGTGTGACCTTTTGGGGTCAAGCATAAGGTTATTCCAGTTGTTGCAGACACTCATTACAACTCAAAACGGTAAAATAAAAGTGTACATGAATACCGTAAACTTCCTGTTTTAAATATCAATTACATTAAGGATCAGTATCCATTGCCAAATAAGATTTAAATTACACCATTATTAAGGAGATTTAATTTTTAGGAGAAAATAATCTTAAACGTTGGTATGTGTAGATTATTGCTACTGTAGAGCTAGGTAAACTATCCTAAGATCGGTTCAAACAGGTGGAAGTAAACAGTAGATTGCTTTCATTGTGTTTTTGCAGTTTTTCAACTCAGATTTCATTTGAGTAAATTAATATGTCTAGAGTAATATTGTATTAACACATTTCAGTGTTTGAAATGACGTGACCTGATACAGTACACACTCAGAAAATGTCAACATTGTATTATGTTGTATAAGTGTTTAATCATACAGCAAAATAATGTTTAATCATGTGCACCCACCATATTTTGTATTTCATTTTTTTTTTTTTCATTTTCCTTTTTTACCTATCAATCTGTATTTCTGGCGAAAAAGATGTTAGGGATGAACCATTAGAAAACATGGGGAGCAGGAAAACTATGCAAAATTTTTGTTTTCTTTACATGTACCTTTGTGTTATTTTTTTCCATAAAAATTTTTCTGAAATTGTTTTTTTTTTTAACTATGTGAATTTCATTCCCCTAATAATTTGGTATGCAGAATATTGTTTTTCTGTTATTTACAAATTTTTTTTTTTTTTTTTTCAAATTTTGTCATCAACCACCATCCATACCCTAAGTTTTCAATGGTCCACTACTTACTACATTATTTTGGCCCACAAATTCAAGGGATTTATATTTTTCATGAAAACTTGTTCATAAAATAGCCAGGATATCAGGGAAAATTTGTGAAAGATAATGTGAAGCCACTGGTGTCCAAAGTATTAGTTAGTTTATAAGTTTACTTGATGAGTCAAGGCAGAAATTCACACTGATATTTTAGATCATATGAAAAACCGGTCAGTTAGGGAGTTCCATATTAATATAATCAATTGCACTGCACTAGTAATTCTCAACTACTAGTACATGTACCCCCACCTGCCCAGGACGAAATTATTATGAAAAATATCTATAGCCAAAATCATAGTTATGTTCTAGCCTACAACTTATTGAAAAAAAATAAAATAAAAATATTAACTGCCTACCAAGTACGACCGTTTATGTAAAAAAAAAATGTTATTTTTGTCTGTTTGGACCAATATTATGACTGAATTCACTGAAAATTACAGAAAATGTGAACAAAGTTACACAAATTTAAGCAGGAAAAGAATTTGTAGCTCAAAAGGTGAATACTATTTATTCTGAGGCATTTTGTGTGTAGAGTAAAGCAATCTCATATAGTAAGTCACAGCGCCCTCTATGGACAAAGTGTGATAGATCATTGACCTCTTTTAAACAGGTTCTAAAACCTACAACTTTCTACAACATTTAGCTTGGTCCCTGACAACATTGAATTTACTTGCACTTCACCATTTGAATACTTCATAATCCAATTTGCACTCAAAATAAATTCAAAATGGCTTAGTCTATTCCCTGAAACGAAACAAAACGAAACCCTAACCCTAACTCGCATTTTTTTTCATTGGCCTAATAATATCTGAGAAAATTTCACACTGTGAAACACAAAATGAATAGCGCCATCAGTGTTCAACAATTCCAAAATGGCGGTCACGTCATGTCAGCACAAATGAATCAAGCTGTAAAGTAGGCAGAAAAGAGGTGAAAACTAAATATTCTCGACAAATTTATTTCTGTGACGTGGCGATGTTTGAAGTCGTTCAAAACTTAAGGTTAGAGTTAGGGTTAGGGTTTCGTTTCTTGTACCCAGAACAGCGACTAAAATTTAATATGAAAGGATAGTACTAATGAAGATTAAAAAATATAAACAAAGGTGAAAAGTCAGCAATTGTCCATTGCATTATGCGGAGCACTTTTCAAGAGAACTACATA